AACTATTTCCAGAGAAACTGGTCATTATTAGCAGGGTGGGTTTTTTTGTTTTTTGTTCTCCCTTGGGACCAACTGGAGGCAACTTGTGCACAAATACGACATGGTTCAGTTCACACACTGCTAAATCCTCCCCATGTACAGCAGTCCCCTGGCCACAACCATATGGAGGTAGTAGTGCATGAGCAAATGGAGACACACAACTTCCCAGAGGTGATGTGCATGAGAACAGGACACAAAGAAGTACCAAACCAAGTTTGAGGTGCTTTTACTGATGTACAAAGCCCTGTTCAGCTTGGGACCAGGATACCTAAAAGATCCTCTCACCCCTTTGCATGCATAACTGATTACTGAGCTCTGCAGGAGCGGGCCTCCTGCAATCAGCATCTCATCAGGTGGTCTGTTTCATGCACTGTAAATATTTGCCCTTTTGTGCAGTGGTACTTAACCTATGAAACTCTCTCCTGTTACTTATCAGACCGGTGCTGACTTTATTTGGGTTCTACTGAAGACTTCCCTTTATCAGAGAGCCTTTCATATGGGAACTTCAATTCAGTTTACTTATGTTTACTTAACACACAATCTATTATGTTTACTTAATAGATTGTGTTTATTGTTTATGGTTGTTGCTTTCTAATTGTTACAGTTGTCGTATGTTAAATTACATACCTGCTTTTATTGCTGATGGTTGGTTTTTTATTTTATTGTGAAACCGTTTTGAGTGGTTTTATGGGAAGTAACCCATACATGGGGGGGAAATGGATTAATTTATAAGTACACACTTCTCCACATTCCGGCAAATCACTGCCAGGAATCTGCTTGGTCAAAGGACCATAGTTCCTTGGGCCATCTAGCTCAGTAATGCATACACTGACTGACAACAGCCCTCAGGGGCTTCAGGCAGGGGTCAATCCCAGATGTACCTGGAGATGCCAGAAATTGAATATTGCACCTTTTGCATACCAAGCACATGCTCTTTTGCTGAGCTACTGGCCTTCCCCTTGTTCATTCCTTCTTGTCAGCTCATTCTTTTCTTCATTTCCTCCATGCAGCTCTAACCATGGAATTACTCCACGTGGAAGATTTTAGCTAGAACTGCAGGCATGTGACACCTAAAAATGATCCACCCTATTTGTGGTCAGAGATGTTTGGAGGGACCATCTCATCAAATGATTCTAGGGGTAGGAGAAATTATCCCCAAGGGGTTGGAGGCTTGACACTATCAGTAGCACAGCTTCCATCTCTCTCTCCGCCCCTCCCATCCCTTCCCTGCCTTAGTTCCTGCTTTGCTGCAGGTGCTGCAAAGGTCAAGATTAGCATCTGTGTTGGCAGCTTGGCCACCATTCTGCATCTTCCACAATTCCCCAGACTCAGATTTGTTCCAGGGCATAATGGAGGGGAAATGGCAGCTACCATACACATGTATAAATATACACAAACACAGTGGGGGAAAATCAGGATAGTGGACTTTTTTTCTAGAGGGGTGGAGGAAAAATATTACTTTCACCAGAAAAAGTATCACTTGATAAACTTTTGCTCAGTTCTAATTCTAGAATGTACCATGAGTTGTCATTAACAATGAAAACAGGATTTTTTAAACAGGTGTCTTGGACTATCTGACAATTGCCCTCAATCCAGACTACAGCCCTGAAACAAGGGAATATCTGCATCATGATGCACCTCCAGAAATGAGATGGAATAGGAACAAAGAAGAAAGCTGCCTTATTACAGGTTGGAGTGTTTCTCCATCTTGTGCAAACTCATGCCGTCGGTGTCCAAGGTCTTAAGCAGATATCAGCTGGTACCTGACCGTATCAGCTTGAGATTTTTTTTTTTAAAGCATTCTCAAGAAAATTAGCCAGCATTTCTCCTAGTACACACATCTTTGTAAGAATTTTCCCTGATATAATGTATCTGTAGATGCTATATTAACCAATATATGTATATTATGCCTACTTTACCCTGTTATTTGCTTTTTTTTTGCACAGAAAACTGGGCTGAGTAAAATTCAGAGAAGTGTGACATTTCAAAGGATAGCTGAGTTTTGGTTTGCTTTTCAGGAAGTGTGATTTAGCTCGATTTACCTATAAATGCAAACTGAACTGAATTTCTTCTCCATCTGTGACACCCTCCCAATCCATGGCAACAGCCTTAGACCTTGGATACAGACTTTGACAAATCAGCACCAGACGTCCCTTGACTGTCTTAGTAAGCAGCCATTGGGGAACCTTCTTCTGTACAGAACTGCAGATATGACAAAAGGATGCAAACTGCACAAAGGTGAGTTGGAATGTCACAGAATGTATAAACTGCCACCCAGGAGTTATTCTACAACCCTGCAATTATCTGGGATGTCTACATAAACTGTTCCTTGCATCCCCCAGTACCTGCATTTGAAGATCTGAGGTACATGCAACTCTTATGAGCTTCCATAGAAAGGGGTGGGTCATTCTTTTGTTGCTGTTGCTTATTAAATTTATATCCCACCCTTTTCCCCAAAGGAGCCCAGGGCGGCAAACAACAAGCATAAATAAAATAAAAATAATTCCAGTATATATGCACACAGGGAAACATCTCAACGTGCTGAAAGAGGAAGGTTTTCAGTAGGTGCTGAGACGATATAAGAGATGACACCTGTCTAATATTCAAGGGGAGGGAATTCCAAGGAGTAGGTGTTAGTTGCTAATAACGGACAAGACATCTTGTCTGAAGAATGTTGATGATGCAGGCACAAAAACATGGGATATCACTCAAAATGCCCTGTCATGTATTGTGAATATGATGTGAGCATTGAAGATGGGTTGGGTGCTTGCCCCATGATAAAAGGAGTATCAAGGGTGAATGATTTGTGATTTTCCCAATCATATAGACTTCAAAATGCACTTGTGAGCTGGGATGCCTGTGGGACATTGACACGAAAAACATACAAGGACAACTGTGGGACAGATTTAAAATTATGCTACTGACTTCACATCTGACCCGAGTTCTCCAACTGTCAAAATGTATAAGTAGAACTGTGGAAAGCAAAGACATCACAAGGGCTGATTACATTTAGCTGTACCATCTCCTGTGCTCAGATGTTATTTGTGTCAACACTCCAAAGTTAGTTAGTACGTTGAGTTTTCCCTTTCAATATTTTATTCATCAGTGTGTGAGTATGCGATTTCCATCTATCCCTCTATCTTAATGGGTAAGCTGAACAGATGCAAATGATATTATGCCAATACAATCATATTAACTGACTACTTCAGAAACACGTTACAGTTATTTTCCCAAGCTCAGTTCAAAGAAAATAAAACAATTCAATAAAAGTGCTTGATATTACAATGAAAGCCCTGAATAACTTAGGCCCAGGATATTTAGAAGATGATCAGTTGGATATATTATCATTATTTTTCAGCCTCTACAGCATGGGTAGGCAAACTAAGGCCTGGGGGGTGGGGGCAGATCCAGCCCAATCGCCTTCTAAATCCGGCCCGCGGATGGTCCAGGAATCAGCGTGTTTTTACATGAGTAGAACATATCCTTTTATTTAAAATGCATCTCTGGGTTATTTGTGGGGCCTTCCTGGTGTTTTTACATGAGTAGAATGTGTGCTTTTATTTAAAATGCATCTCTGGTTTATTTGTGGGTCATAGGAATTCGTTCATTATTATTTTTCAAAATATAGTCTGGCCCCCCAGAAGGTCCGAGGAACAGTGGACCGGCCCCCTGCTGAAAAAGTTTGCTGACCCCTGCTCTACAGCTACAGCAAGTGCTGCAACCTTCCAACATTTTGACTTTACCCCCAAAGGCACACTCCTCCATTGTTTTCCAAGACGGACGGATGCCAACAACATTATTTGATATCTATCCCACCCTTCCTCCTGAATGAGCCCAGGATATCACAAGGATCTGTGTCAACCTGGGCACCTTCCTTCCAGTTGGTGATGCCCATCTTCAAATAAAATAAATAATAAAACATAGCTGCTCCACCATCAGCCGATGATGGAAGTTTCCGCAAGCTTTTAGTCTGTTTGAAGAAGCAGCATCTGGGGGCAGGGGAAGGGATGAACCCGCGGCTTTGAATGCAGAAGGTCCCAGGTTCAGTCCCAGGCATCTCCAAATAATCAAAAGTAGCTTGCGATATGAAATACCTTTCTCAGTCTACAGTCCTGGAGAGCCACTGCCAGGCAGTATATACATACATTGTTTATTTATTAATACAAAATTTGTATACCACCCTTCATCCGAAGATCACAGGGCAGTTAACAAAATAAAACTACAAGATGAGAACACGAAATACAAAATAATCACAACAACAACAAACCAAAAAACCCCTTCCCACAAAGACTCTTTATTAAAATTATTATTCGTTTATTATTATAGGATGCTCATGTATAGCGACTCAGATCATTGGTCTATTGAGCTCAGTATTGTCTACACTGATGGGCAGCAGCTCTCAAGTGTTTCAGAAAGGAAATCTTTTCAAGTCCCTCCTGGAGAGTCTGTGGATTGAATCTTGGACCTTCTGTGTGCAAGGCAGATGCCCTAGCTTTTAGGTACTGAGTGAGGCAAGTAAAAGTCTGTCCTGGAATAAGGCACCTTTCTCCAATGTCTTTGTTTGAATTTGTTGCTATTGTTTTATATTTAACGCTGCTTTCCCCCTTTCAGTCTTTTTAAAACAAACATTGTTGATGGCTCTTACTATGTTGTTCCTCAGCCTGCCCTTTGGATTTCTTTTTAACGAGAGTAGAAATTAGCTGATAAATAATGAAGTAAATTTCCACAGTGTATGAAAATTTGATTATTATTATTTTTTACAAAACCACCATGGATGCTCACAAAAGCATACATACCCAAGTGTATACATTTTCTACATTTTGTTTACCCGACTGCTGCCTCATTGATAGTTCTGTTTAAGTACAAACTGGCATGGCTGAAGCTCTTTCTCTCTCATACATGCACACCCACACCCACATTGAAATAAATCTATGCCTGTTTTTAATGGGTTGCTTCATTACCGTTCTCCCCATCAGACTTCCTTTCGTGGTCAGTATCGGTGAGGGATAGCGCTGAGTTTGCGCGGCTCGATAAACACGAACTGTGCTCCGATTTCATTCCGGACATCCACATCCTCAAGGCCTGATCTGGTGAGGCTCCTCCTTCTGTCTCAGTATCGACATCAGAACCCATCTCTATCGGATAGCCACACTGGGAGACAGCATGCATGTCTGGCTGGTAGCCAGTGCACAAGATATGTGGAGTATCATGAAATTCCATCTCTGCAAAAACAAACACACACCAAAGAAACAGATTTAATAATACATTTACAGACACACAAAGAGAGAGAGAGAGAGATCATTCAGCCTTTGCCTATTTTCCAAAAGATTCACTCATAGCATCTTCCATGGCTCCAGCTTTTTTTCTTTTTTTAAAGTGTTATGGCCTGTCATTCCCTTGTCCCTTCCATCTTCCAGCCCCAGAACTTCCTCCAGAGCTAATTGTGCATATTCTGCCAGCTGGGTCCAAGGAACAAGGGCTGCAGGCAGCTCACTCAAGCTCACCCACTTCCAGGCATGTTCCTGTTGACAGCAGCCTGCTGGCAGGATCACATCTATTTGTTGTAGCAGGAGCTATAGGGTGACTCGAGCCCAGGAAGTCTGATGAATGCTAATTTGACAACACATTTCAAAAATAGGCAGAATGTGGCCATCTATTGATATTTTAATTTTGCAGGTGGCATATGTGACACTGTAAATATATTTGGAGACGAGGCTTTTGCTGGTACAGAGCAAAACTGTTGTGGGTGAGCTGAAAAAGAAGGATACTTCCTTTCCCTTCAAACGCTTTGCATTGCCTTCACAGAGTATTTCCTTAAATATGCATGCTTTTGTAGTGCTCCAATTCCCACAGGATGTATTTTCTTTGAAGCTCTTATAGTGCCATAAATGGTGGTTTTTAGCTTTGCACATCTAACCTTGTTACCTACAATACTGCATATTCCCTGGAGGAGATAAAACTCAAAGTGGATTTATGATATTCTTAGGCTCTCTTCAAAACACACATAAAGCCAGCAGGTTGGGAACCATTTTCATGTGATGGAAAGCCACAGTGCAGATGCGTGCAGATGAACAGCATGGCTACATAAGCTGGGACATCTGAACATGCATTGCAAGGATGGGGAACCTCAGGCTCCAGGGATGAATGCAGCCTTACAGGCCTCTATATCTTTCTCCAGGCTCTCCCAAGTCTTTCGCAAGCCACACACCTCACCAGCTCTGCTCCACAATGTCTATGTCTGGCTGGAAAGAGTCTTTAAACTGTGCCAATGCTCCTTTGTGGTCTGGGTGAAGGGGTATGTGCGTGCCTAAATATGCATGTGAGTACCCTCCAACATTCCTCAGATGAAAACAGGGACATTCTATTCTACCTCAGTGTGCCCTCTATGCCCCTTATATGCACACTGCCAATGGAATACCAGGCTGAGCAGCCCTGATGGCTGTTACCAAGAGGAGTATGTAACAATACCATACCAGCAAACATCTTGGTTATACGTGGGAGCCTTATCTGGTTAAAAATCCACCAGACCACCTCGGGCATCAGAGGAGGCACACGTGCTGAATGTTTACGGGGAACACTTCCATGCCAACAATGTAGTCTCTATGGTCGGCGGTTATGACCACACAAGCCCTTAGGCCACTCCTACCACCACCAGTACCGTAGTTGGATGCATTAAAAGGTACTATTTGGCAGAGCTGAGGGGTGCAGCAGCAACAGATGGTGCACCACCTCTTCCCATGAGTCCTGCTATGCCACCATGAGAGGTGGGGCCTCCTCCTCCTTCCCTGTCTCCACCCTTTGCTGCTCCCTTTCCCCACTCACAGAATTTGGAACTCTGACACAATGAAAAGCCATGGCAGCTTAAAGGTTTTCATGATGCTCTTGGCATTTTGGGGGCAGTTGGAGACTATGCAAGTGTGAAGAAACATCTGGATTTTCAGTGGCTGTAATGTCTACTATAGGGATGCAGGTGGCGCTGTGGGTAAAAGCCTCAGCGCCTAGGGCTTGCCGATCGAAAGGTCGGCGGTTCGAATCCCCGCGGCGGGGTGCGCTCCCATCGTTCGGTCCCAGCGCCTGCCAACCCAGCAGTTCGAAAGCACTCCTGGGTGCAAGTAGATAAATAGGGACCGCTTACTAGCGGGAAAGTAAACGGCGTTTCCGTGTGCAGCTCTGGCTCGCCAGAGCAGCGATGTCACGCTGGCCACGTGACCCAGAAGTGTCTCCGGACAGCACTGGCCCCCGGCCTCTTGAGTGAGATGGGCGCACAACCCTAGAGTCTGTCAAGACTGGCCCGTACGGGCAGGGGTACCTTTACCTTTACCTTGCGGACAACTCTGGGGTTGCAGCGCTCATCTCGTTTTACTGGCCGGGGGAGTCGGCGTTTGTCCGCAAACAGCTTCTGGGTCATGTGGCCAGAATGACTAAGCCGCTTCTGGCGAACCACAGCAGCGCATGGAAATGCTGTTTACCTTCCCGCCGGAGCGATACCTATTTATCTACTTGCACTTGACATGCTTTCGAATTGCTAGGTGGGCAGGAGCTGGGACCGAACAACGGTTGGTAGCATGTCTCAATTCCAGTCTTCTCAATTTCTCATTTTTCCTATTTTAAATTCAGTTCTCAATGTTTCCACATCAGCTTGTGAATTATTATTATTATTATTATTATTATTATTATTATTACAGTCGTAACTTGGTTCTCAAATTTAATCCGTTCCGGGAGTTGGACTCCCGAAACAGTTCAAAAACCAAGGCACAGCTTCCGATTGGCTGCAAGAGCTTCCTGCAAGCCAACTGGAAGTCACAGAAGCCACGTCGGACGTTCAGCTTCCAAAAAACATTTGCAAACCAGAACACTCACTTCTGGGTTTGCAACGTTCAGGAGCCGATTTGTTTGACAACTAAGGCATTCGACTACCAAGGTTCGACCGTATTATTATTATTATTATTATTATTATTATTATTATATCATTCATCATCATAAAAACTCATTAGGATTTTAATGCGAATTGCAGTTTTGTTTCTTTCAGCTTTGGTTACTATGAACATTATTGTAAAGCAAGTGCCCTGTATGAGCACCTTCCCCTAACATATGCATTTTTACTGATGATGATGATGATACCCCACCCATCTGACTCAGCTGCCCCAGCCACTATAGGCAGTTTCCAACAAAATATAAAAACACAATGAAATGTCAGACATTAAAAGCTGCCTTCAGATTTCTTTGGAAAGTCATATACCGTATTTTTTGCTCCATAAGACTCACTTTTTCCCTCCTAAAAAGTAAGGGGAAATGTGTGTGTGTCTTATGGAGCGAATGCAGGCTGCGCAGCTATCCCAGAAGCCAGAACAGCAAGAGGGATTGCTGCTTTCACTGCGCAGCGATCCCTCTTGCTGTTCTGGCTTCTGAGATTCAGAATATTTTTTTTCTTGTTTTCCTCCTCCAAAAACTAGGTGTGTCTTGTGGTCTGGTGCATCTTATAGAGCAAAAAATACGGTAGTTGTTTATCTCTTTGTTTACCTTTGTAAACATTCTTTTAATAGAGAACTGCATCACAAAATCTGGAGATGTGTGAATTTTGAAGGGTGACTATGTATCGGTTCTCATACTGTTTCAGAAAGTGCGAGTTTCATAGATTCAGCTTTAAATGCTAACTGAATTGAATCTTTCCCTCATCCCTATCTACCACTCACAGGTGGACCCTGGAAGACTGCCCACAAGGGAATGTGAAGTTTAGATGGAAGGAGGTTCCCTACCCCCAGGGAAATGTAGTAACCAATTAAGTGTGTGTGTGTGTGATTCTGAGAGAGAGAGAGAGACTTCCCTTGACAACAAAATGGTGCAATGACTACCCACTTCTAGCAATGGAGGCTGGTCCACCAGGGTGAAGCTCCCATCTGTCCACCTGCCTTACAACCAGCCAACCCAGCAGGCTGAACTGCCTGTTATCTTCCTCGTCCTTCATCTCAGTGTTGCCTTAGCAGGGAGGAGGATGGGGACAAAGCTGGAATTATTTGGCTCTGCTGGCCATTGGCTCAGGCTCCACCTATGGCTGACCTCTCTGCCTCAGCCCTACTAGTCTCAGTGAGCACCAGCTGCCACTGCTTTCTCATAGTAGTGCTCCTCTCCAAAGGTCCAGGTGCCCACCCTCACCTTCTTCTAACAAACCATTCCACTCCCTCTCCCCAAGTTCTCAATCTTTTTTCTTTTCTTTTCCAACGGATGCTCAGCATTTCATGTCCACTGAGCATGCCAACACCTCCTTTCTGATTTCTCAGTGGCCCTCATGGGTTTTATGGCTATTTTTGTAGGGATTGGAACCCTGGTCTCCCAGTTCCTAGCCCAACGCTCTAACCACTACACCAGACTGGCTCCCAATCCCTGGCCCTGAAGGGAGAAAAAAGCAGGAGTGCTCCTAGATTGTAGTAACTAGAGTGGTAGGATTTTAAAGCTCCCCATAATCAACAACTTTCCTGATTACTAAATGAATAAATTTGGGGCTGAGTGGGATGAAATCCTCCAATATGAAGCAAAACTAACCAACGAGGACACACACACACACACCCAGCCCCACAAAAAAGCACCACTGCAGAGCAACAAGAAGGTCTCCTTTAATCCCAACAATTGGCTGACGGCAGCTAGAAATGTTTGCTCTCAAATTCCACAGCTACATCCCTGGAGATGAACGCAGGGCTTCCAGCCATGTGGCCCCACCTTTAGAATTCATGCCTTGGGGCAACACATCGAAGTCAAGCTCAAGCAACCTCAAAGACAGGGAAGGGAAACCACATTTATTTTGTTTAGTATTTTGCTTCCTTTGCGTCTTCCACCCACCCACCCGTATTAATCTTAAGGCCCTAGGGGAGAACTTGTCTATGGAGTGGCAGATCTAATTTGTGTTTTAGTCTATGTAATTGCTGCTTCAAGCTGCTTCTGCAATAGCTGCCACAGGACGAACAGAGCAGACGCAAGGGAGACATTTCCCCCACCTCTTTTTGACACTTCAAATGGAAGTGGGGAATGGGCCTGATTTAGAGTACAGGGAAGCAAGTACAGAGCGGAATCCTGTGGCAAAACTTATCGCTACCATGGCTACTTCTATTGGACGTTTGCTTGGCGTCAGAGCGAAATATTGCATGTGGCAGTTGAGACCAGGAAAGGGGCTTGTTTTAACTTCTGAGACTTCGGAGCACACACACACACCATCCATTGCAGACAGTTC